CCCAACTCCGTCCGGCCCGGTCCACGGGGAGCCTGCGCCATGTGCCTCCCCCAGCGATGGTGTGGCGGGCCCGGGTCAGGGACACGGGGCTCAGTGGGCAGGCGGGCAGCCGGCACCTACATGGTCCCACCAGCACTCGCTGAAGTTGGGCAGCTGGTGCTCCAGGCTGTATTCCAGGAACTCAAACACCACGCTCACGATCGTGCACATCCACCAGTCCCGGATCATCAGGGTCTGCGGGCCAGCCGTGCGTCAGCACGCAACGGGCCCCCACTTACAGCCCTCCCAGGCCTCCTTCCTACCCAGCCCGCAGCACCCTCAGCTGAGGCATCAGCAAAGGCGCACCAGTCCCCAAGCACCCCGATGTAAGGCCTTCAGGCAGCTCTCAGGTGTGTCTACTCGCGTCCCCAAGCTGAGGGCATGTGAGGTCGGCCCTCAGGCTCAGCCGCTGGGGGCTGGCAGGAATGGGGGCCAGAGGCCTCCCGGCTGTCCCTCTGCTTTGCTCTTCAGTAGCCACCGTGGCACGCCCAGGATGCTCGGCCCAGTAAGGACCCTGAGCCCAGGTGGTCTTACAGACCCTCTAGACAGCCCACCTGTCCTCCATGACTGACCCGAAACCAGGTGTTCTGCACAATGAGGAGGTGCCTACCTTCAGGTACCAGCCAATAAAGTGTGCAGGCACAAAGCCGTCCAGCTTGTCCTGTGAGGGGAAGGACATAGGCCTGGTGCTCAGCCCCCCATCCCATTCAGGGTCCCCCCACCCCACATGCTTGGCCCCCATCCTGGTGCTTGGGCCCTAGTCGTGAGCTGGGACGTAACCCCGCCACAGCTGGGAGGGCGTCCCCACCCTCGGTCCTCACACCGCTCCAGGAGGGCGCTGAGCCGAGGAGAGCCCCAGGTCAGGAAGGAGGGGTCAGCACCTGCTGGGGCTCATGCTGCCCCACCCCATCCAATCCACAGACGACTCGGTTTCCGGACCTCCTGATGCCCAGTGACCCCTCTGGACACTCACCCAGACATTGTGGAAGGGGTCGGTCTTATTGTCTGGGTCATAGATGAGGCAGTTGCCCCCATAGTCCCTCTCTGGCAGTGGGACCCCCAGCCTGGGGTCAACATACTTCAGAAACTGGCGGCCGTCCTGGACAGTCTGCAAGGCCAGCACCCGTGTTAGGGGCCGAGGGTTGTGGTGTGCGGACAGCACCCAGTCTCAGCACCACCCCTAGCCTTGGGCCTGGCAGATCAGGGGCTTCCCCGGTCCGAGGCGACATCCCCACGGGACCCTGCCAAGGAGGGTTACAGGAGCACATCCCGTCGGGGGCTCAGATCACCAGTCTCCCCACCTCTCTTCCCCAAGACCCTTCAGGGCCCAGACCCCACAGAGCAGTGGCCTTCCTGGGACACACTTCTTCACATGATGGCCGGACAGCCTTCCCCAGACGCCAGCGTTAGCTGAGTGCTCCTCTGGGCTTGGCATGAAGTGGGCTTTGGGGCTGCACCCGGCGGAAGAGGAGCCCCTCTGAGCAGCCGCGCCCACTCCTCCCTCTGGGCCCCCGTCATCAGGGCCCCGTCCCCAGGATCCTGCCCAAGCACCAGCTGAGGGGTGCAGCGGGGAGGAGGCTCAGGCTGGGCCAACAAAGTCCTCCAGGGTGTGTGTGGGCAGATGGCACTCAGACCTGCAACTGTCACACCACGGAGGTGACCCACGAGCAACTGACATCACCCCACATGACCCGGGTGACACTGGATCTGAGGGGCTGACAACAGCGCCACATTCCCGAGTCAGAGGGATGGCCTCTTGGACTCGGCTCTGGAGGCCGGGTCTGCAGGGTCAGACCCCTGGATGCTCAACCCCCAGGGAGGTGAACAGCTGGTCAAGCATAGAAAGTCTCTACATTGGGGCATCTGAAGGCTCATGACCCAAGGAAGTCAGAGTTCCAGACCATGACCGTCCACTCCAGCAAAGGCCAGTGAGGCCGGCTGATGCCTCGGGCCCCCGTGTGATGTGGCTCCCTGGAGAGGGAGGCGGGAGGCCGGTGGCTAGCAGCCGGCAGCTTGGGCAGCAGGGGCCCCCTGAACCGGCTGTTTCTAAAACATCTGCAGACACACCTGTCAGGACCCACACGTCTCCCTGCTGTTGGCCAAAAGGGCCCAGGGCCTGGTTCCCGAGACCATCCTCCAACAAAGGAACCAGGCTCCTTGGAGGAACGGCCGAGTCCAGGGCTGGGGCAGGGACTCCCCAGAGAGCAGGTGCTCAGAAACACAAGACAAAACACCAAGAACCCACGACGACGTGGTGTGTGAAATCTCCCAGTGGCCAAAGCAACTTGAGCAACAAAATCAACCGAGTACTGAATTATAACCCAGAGTGCAACACGGACGTCCGTGAGGCCGTGCTGGTACAAGACGTGACGGAAAACGTGGGTCGGGGAGAAGAAACAAGTCTCCCAAGCAGAAGCTCCCCCCTCAAGATGTGCAGCGGGACCTCCCTCCCGAGGGCGCGGCGTGGAGGGGGACGCGACGGACACCCCTCAGCCAGGGGGTGGGGTTGGCACCAAGTCAGAATCCTGTGTCAGATCATGAGAGAAACACCGGACAAACCCCCAGCAACCTTGATTCCAAAACCAAAAAGCCAGACATTACAGGCAAACCACAGTGTGTCTTGCAAGTACAGACGCAAAAATCCTCAACAGAATACTAGGAAACTGAATCCAGCACTATATAAAAAGGGCCATACACCATGCCCAAGTGGGATTTATCCCAGGAATGCTAAGCTGGCTCAAAATAAGAAAATGAATCAACGCAGTGTGTCATCTCAACAAAGGGAGAACCCACACATCTCACTGGACACAGAAGCAGCACTGGACGAACTCCAACACCTCCCAAGATAAATACACTCAACCAACGAGGAAAAGGGCGCCCTCCTCCCAGGACAAGCGGCCTGGGGAGGGCAGGGCGCCCCACCAAGACGAGGGGTGGTGAGGCTGCCGCTGGGCAGGGAGGCCAGAGAAGGACAGACAGACACCCAGGCTGGGAAGGGAGAGGCAGGAATCTCCTTGCTGCAGACGTGAGCCTGCGCAGGGAACGGCCAGGCCCGCCAGACAGCAGAGCTGTTGGAATGGACCGGCGGGCACAGACAGGCTGCAGGACACAGGTCCACAGACAGAACAAGCTGCACTTCTAGATGCCGGAAATGAGCAGACCAGCACGAAATGACGACATTTCACTTATGACAGCATCAAAAAGAGTGAAACCCTCAGGAATAAACTCAACAGAGGAAGCGCAAAAGGTAGACTCTGAAAACCACAGGAGGTGAAGGAGCCGCACATGGAGAACGTCCCGCAGGGGCGTGGGGGGCTCAGGTAAGAAGGGGGTGATGGACCACAGCCCACGTTTGCCACAGGAGAGCTGGGTGCAGGGCTGATGGGAACTCTGCACTAACTTCACAGTTCTATGATTTGCTTTACAATAAAGTTTATTTTAAATAAAGGAACAAAATACGGACCATGAGAAATCAATCAGAACAAAAGCTGGTCTACAAAGAAGACATACAAATGTCCAACGGGCACATGAAATATGCTGAGCATCACCAGGCATCAGGGAAACACAAGTCAAACCACACGAGATACCATTTACCACGTCACACCAAAAAAAACAGATAGAGAAAAAAAGGTAAAATAAAAAGTGTTGGCCAGACCATGGAGAAACTGGAATCTTGGGCGCTGCTGGTGGGGATGTGGAATGAGCACAGCCGCCGTGGCGGACAGTGTGGCAGCTGCTCTGAAGGCTGAGCACGGACTCACTCGGCGCTGCCATGTCGGGGTGTGTCCTCACAGAGATGGAGGGCAGGGACTCGGGCAGATCCTTTTGCCCACGTCACGCGGGGCTCCTCACAGCAGCCAAGAGGTGGAGGGGGCCCGAGTGTCCACACAGCACAGTGAGTGGACACACAGCGCGGTCCATCCACACGATGGGCCACTACTCAGCC